ATCCCGTCTCGCAGGCATATAAGCTACTCATTTCCACCCACGCATGATCATACTCACTACTGCTCATTGCCACTCTCAGGGCCTCCCGTGAATGCCAATCGTACTACGTTTAGTAATAGCCACGTTCCCTTCTTCTACTGCTAGTAGCACTCGCCGCAGGACCGCCTCCGTGGGACGTGCTGCGGGACTCACGTCGGCGCACCTCTCGGATCGGAACACCTCCATCCGTGCTCAAACCACCTCGTCGAGTTTTCAGACGTCTCAAAGCTTGAACCACCTCCTCGTGTACATCCCACGGTCCCCCTTGCGGACTGAAGCTAAGTTCTGTCGGGCGAATGGCGTCCGGCAATTGGAGCCACATCGGCCTTCCTCTGCTGCTTCTGCTGCTCCTCGTCGGTAAGCTGATATCTAGTAGCGAGAAAAGTTCGAGCCTTGCAATTCAGATCCACTCACATCTCCCCATGCCCTGTGTGCGGTGCTGTGATGCGCTGTGGTGTGCCGTACGGTTCTGTGCTGTTCTGTGTGGTGCTCTGCTGGCAGGGGCGCTGGACACTCCGTGGACGACCATCCGCACTGCTGCTCTTGCTGTAAGCTCCGTCTTCCAACCCTATGCGCCACCCTCGCTGTCTTAGTACTTGCCACGAAGTTCATTTTGACCTTGCCACAATTATTTTGAGCTTGCCGTGAAGTTCATTTGCACCTGACTCTTCTTCAGACACAACCTTACTACGGTTATGTTCGAAGGGTCTCATACAATGGCTAATTTGAGCAGATTTTGCTGCATTGTATTTGGCATGTAGCAGGCTAATTTTTTTTTTTCTTAGATTTCTAAAAAAACAGATGCATTGTATGTGGCATGTGGCAACATATGTTTGATACGAGACCAGGTTTCGGGGCGTGTGCACCATCGCATGTGCCATCGCATGTGCCATCGTTGGCAGACTCGCAGGCAGCTAGCATGGACCATTGCGTGCCCCACTACAGCACCATCGTATCGCACGCGGCATCGAATATAGCATCACATGCAGCATCGCGTGTAGCATCATCGCACGTCCCTCTCCATGCACCGAGCAACATCGCATGCACCATTACGAGAAACATTGCAAGCAATATCGTATGCATAGTTGCTTGCATGCATACGATGTTGGCCTCACCAATTGTGTTCCTCTCACTCGCCCCCACTTTCTTCCTCCCCCAGGATGCAAGACGGTGGTGGTGGGGTGGGGTGGAGTGGAGGTACTCACACTGGATTCCTTTTGAGATCACTCTTCCTCCCTGTGTGTGCGCTCCACCCCTCCGCCTCTCCCTCCTCCCTGATGGCAGGACGCCAAGACGGTGGTGGTGGGGTGGAAGAACTAGGGCTGGAAGCCGAGTGTGAAGACGTGGCGGCCTCCCTTTGTCACCGAGGGCGACACGATAGGTCAGCTCCTACTACTGCCGAGTCTCCCGGACCTACTTGCGGAGTGACTCTCTATAGCGTCTGTAAAGCGGAGCCCCGCCTGCCTGCTGCTGCCGCTGCTGCTGCTCCTCGCAGGTAAGCGGCGGCGAGCCCTGCAGCGCTATAAGCTTGCTCACAGCCGCACCATCTGCATCACTACTAATTGTTGGCCCAGCCTGCTACCGACTAGGTTAAAATGGCATATCTGTATGGTGGGTAGCACACCCATTACCCCTCAGGCCACGCCCATTGCCCTCCCACACTCAAGTGGGGACGATTCCAGTGCCCCACCAACACTAGTGACCCTGTATCTTCTTGCGCCCTTTACGGTCTTGCGATGTGCCGTGCTGCTGCTGCTCCTCGCGGGTAAAGGGCGAGCCCTGCGGCGTTATAAGGTTTCTCACAGCCGCATCATCCGCGTCGCTAATGCCCCTGTATCTTCCCCGAGCCCTGGCACCCACTGTGCTATGCTGTGCTGTGCTGTTCTGGTGTGGTGCTGTGCTGTGCTGCTGCAGGCTCGCTGGACACTCCATGGACGACCATCCGCACTGCTTCTCTTGCGGTAAGCTCCGTTTCTTGACACACTGCGTTCAATATTAACCCATCAACGCCACCTCACCCTCGCCCTTTCTGAGTCCTTTGCATTCAATATTGAGACACGTGAACCTTTTGTGTGATCCGCGGTGAGATCTTGTGACATCGCATGCATTATTATGCACCATTATCGCATGCACCATTATCGCATGCACCATTATCGCATGCACCATTATCGCATGCACCATTATCGCATGCACCATTATCGCATGCACCATTATCGCATGCACCAATATCGCATGCACCATTATCGCATGCACCATTATCGCATGCACCATTATCGCATGCACCATTATCGCATGCACCATTATCGCATGCACCATTATCGCATGCACCATTATCGCATGCACCATTATCGCATGCACCATTATCGCATGCACCAATATCGCATGCACCATTATCGCATGCACCATTATCGCATGCACCATTATCGCATGCACCATTATCGCATGCACCATTATCGCATGCACCATTATCACATGCACCATTATCGCATGCACCATCGCATTTGTTTTTTGAGAATTCTTAAAAAAACGATTCAGCATAGCATGCACCATTGCATGCACCACCATCGCATGCACCACTGTGAGGATCTAGTTCAAGAAAGAGAAATCTATTGAATGATCCACCTGGGTACAAGGCGAGGCTATATATAGGCTCGACACAAAGGCAGTAACCCGGGTGTTACTAGAAGGTTCCGTGGGTCGCGAAGCGTCCCGAACGGATCCTTCCCGAATTCAGTAGAAGGCAATTCGGTGGCAACCGAAAAGCCCTAGAATTTGGTGCACTCAACCTAGTTCGGTGCCTATCACTAAAATAACTATAGTTCAGCAACAAAACTAGGAAATCAAGCAAATGCATGCAAGATAAAATAAAGCTAAGCTAGATAATGCATTATAAACCAGAATCAAGCAAGTAAAGTTGGGTGGCGTGAGAAACACCCTGCTTGACAAGATAATCCTTGAGAGCACGTGTCGGAAACTCACCACCTTCCCTCATGCTCTTTTGTGCCTCTCTCTCATACTCCTGCTTCTCCTCTTGTGGTTGTCAGGAACTAACTCACCCCTTGCATCACTCTGGGACCTCTCCCTGCATCCTTCCTTACCCACTCTGCTTCCTTACTCTCTTTCTGCTCTCCCTCTTTATCTGTGCCTCTCGCTCTGCCTCCCTTGATGTGCTCTTCCAGTTACTTCTCTTGCCCCCTCCCATGACCAGCTACTAACGTCCTCGCCCTGGTCATGGGACCAGTGTATGCCACTGTCTTCTTCTGCTTCCCCGCGTGGGCCACGTTAGTGACATGATCCATGACCCGTTTCCCTTGTGCATCTTCCAGCACCAGCACACCTGACTCGCGCACCTCCTTCACCTCCCACCTCTGCTGAGACACTCCCACATCCAGCCCGTCCCGCTTTGCCCGCCGCACGTACACAGCATGTCCCTCCTCCACTACAGGCTGCTTTCCTTGCATCTTGCCTAACTGCCTCTGCTTGTAGCGGTGGATGTCACGCAGCTGTGCTACTTTCAAGCTCTCCATCGCAGCAGGTAGCATCTGCTTCAGATACCTGGCTCTGGCATCAGCCAGTGCCACCCACTTCTCAGCATTCCCCGCTGTCACGCTGTCTACCAGCAGGCGCGGCGCATCCATTGGCAGGATAGGCTGCTTTCCGAAGAGCAGGTAGTATGGGGAGACGTCTTTCAGCGAGGCCTGCTTGCTGAACCTGTACCCTGCCATCACCCACGCCAATTTTCTGTCCCAATCCCCTTTGTTTGCCTCCCCATAGGCCCGCAATCCCTTCTTCACCGTCTGTACCAACCGTTCCGTGAGCCCATCACTCTGGGGGTGATACCTGGATGTGGTGCGGTGCTGGATGCCATTGGAAGCCAGAAACTCCTTGAATTCCCCTTGGAATTCAGTCCCTTGGTCAGTCAGTACCTCACCACACGCCCCGAACCGCGTCAGCACCATATCTTCAAATGCTTCTGCCACTGCTCCTGCCGTCTTCGCCACCAGCAGTCTCGCCTCTGCCCACTTGCTCACGTGCTTGATCATGATCAACACGTACCTCCTGCCCCTTCGTGACACTGGCAGCTCCCCTGTGATGTCTAAGGACCAGCGATACCCTAGTTCCACGATGTTCAGAGGCTGGAGCTCCGCCTGGCTCTTCAGCAGGCTAGCTTTGTTCCTGCAGCATAGCTCGCACTTCTCCACCCACTCCTTCACTTCCTTACGCATTCCTGCCCACCACCACCCAGTCTGCAGCAGCTGCTGTGTCCTCAAGGTCCCGTAGTGACCCAGCTTGTTGTGGACTTCTCGTATGATGCTCTCCCTTTCAGCTGGTGCCGGCACCCTTTTCCACCCATCCTTCGTTTGAAGCTGCACCTGTCCCTCAACACCGCGTCCATCACTCGTTGAAACACTGCTGACGCATTCCGCAGCCCAAATGGCATGAGGTTCCACTCGTACAGCCCGTCCGGTCCGTGGAAAGCTGTCTTCTTCTTGTCCTCCTCTACTATCGGCATCTGATTAAATCCCTGCCGCAAATCCAGTGTTGAGAAGACCCAGCTACCCTGCAGCTGGTCGAATATTTCCTCGGCCATCGGCATAGGGTATTGGTCTGTCGCCGTCACCTTGTTCAGTCCCCTATCGTCTCCACACATACGGCGGGACATCACAGTGCCCGTCAGATCTGTCCTTGCTGCTACCACTGTCGTTGCTGCGTAATCTGATGCTGACCGTTGGATCAGCCCTGCTGCCAGCAACTCTTGGCATTTCTCTGTGCATATGCTTATATCCTGCGGGCTCATCCTCCTCCTCCTCTGGTACACTGGTACCTCGCTGGTCAATGGCAGGCGCATGGTGCTGGTCACACACTTTCCTAGCTGCTGCAGTGTGTGTGCGAAAGTCGCTGCATGCTGTCGTAGTACTGCTTCCAGTCTCAGTGCCATTTCTCCGTGCATTGCTCCGCCAATGTCCCAGCGCGTTTCCTGTGCTTGTGGTGGTGCTGCTTCCTCCCTCCTCCCTATTCCTTCTCCCGTTTCAGCTTCCCTTGCCCTGCCTGAGCTCTCAGGCAGCTCAGCTGCCCCCACTTATTCGATTGTTCCTTGCCTCTCCCCCTCATCTTCAACTTCTGCCCTACTTGCCATGTATGCCCTGCTGGGTCCCAGAAAGACTTCGTCAGGATCAGGGATCCACCTCTCTGTAGGGTCCTCCTCCTGCTCTGAGTCCCAGTCCATCCAGGGCTCTCCCTCCCACCACTCTTCCTCCTCTTCCTCTTGGTCTGGATAACGGCCCGGGATCCCCTGATGATCATTCAGCCTTTCCGCTCGCTGCTCATGCGGCACTCCCTTTCTCCTCATCTCCCATACCTCATTCTCCAAATGTTCGAGCAGGATCTCCGCCTCCTCTTCCTTGATCTCCTCCTCTCATGTCTTTGGGTCCGCCCTTGCTGCATGATCCCTCCTCCTCTCCAACCGATTCCTCTCTAAGTGGCGACTCATGGTGGCCACCAGCCAATGCAGCGCGTTCAAATCTATGGCCTTCCCCAGTGCCCTCCGCCTCTCTTCCTCTGTGACATCCGTGCTCGCGGTTGCTCTCGCCATGAATCCCATCGCTAGTTCGCATTCTAAGGCCGTTGGTTCCTCCCACACTCCCTTTAGGCGATCGAACACCATTCCTAGACCTTCCACTCCGTCCTTGATCTTGAATCCTTCCGCCTTCTCATATGCCACCAGGGTCGGCCACGCCTGCCGAGGCTTTCCCACCACATTGCAGGGATACTGCGTCTCATGGTCAGGGTGTCGCATTGGCGCCGGCAGCCGCGCTGGTTCCAGGAAGTCTGCGACTAGACGCAGACGAGGACGCTCCATCAGCGACAGCTCGTACTGCAGCATAGCCTCTGGCAGTATGTTCTACCAGTACCTGCGGGTGCGATGCGTACGACTCCCATTCTGTGCCGCGTCCCATGACACTCCTGCCCCAGCTCTTCCTTGATCTCTTCTTCTGCTTGCTTGACTGCCTCTCTCTCGTCATCTCTGGTGTCCACGTTTTCCACGATGTACGCCACCTCCCCTTGCTTCCGCTTGATCAGCTTGAGGATTCGGATGAGCTCTCTGAGTAACCCACTCCTTGGATCGTCCATCCCCCTTCCTTCTCCTGCCCGTGACATCCCTTGACACTCCCAGCCTGCGATCACCAGATCAATGTGCCCCCAGTACTCCAGCGCCTCTTCTTTCACATCCTCCACTCGGTGGCAGATCCACTCCGCTCCTCGGTCTGCCGCTCCATCATAGAGTTGAGAGGGGTACCGTTCCTCCAGCTTTTTGATGTGATGCCACGCCATGATGTTCGCTGCGCCGTCGTTATCTACGTATATGTACTTCTCTACCCTCAGGCATGCATTCAACACCGCCGCCAGCCCCGTGCTGATGCCCCCGAACAACTCCAGGAGCACTATGGGCTTCTGAAACACTCGACTGTCCAGTTGAAGTTCCTTCAGTCTGCCGCTCTCCCCCCACTGCTGCCGATGCCAGTCTCGGTAACGTCTCTCCTCCTCCAGTTCTTCCCAATTCATCCTCCCCAGCTCTTCCTCTGCCGTCTTCACCTCCACCTGGTATGCTTTACGTGGCTCACGGCAAATGAAACGTAATGGCAACTCTGCCAGCGGACCGTTATACTCCCAGTAAGTCACTCGATACAGCAGTTTCTCCTCCCACATACAGATGGTCGCCCCAATGCTGTAAAGGAACTCCACTCCCAAGAGCAGGTCGTAGTCTTCCAACGGCGAGATGCCGCACTATAACTTCACAGAGCATTCCTCCTGACTCCCGCGCCTTATCATGTTATCCACCGTCGCACACGTTTTCGGCATCCATTTGGTTCCACCCCCTTCTGCTGTCATCAGCAGCAGCCCCTCTGCTATCTGCCTTTCTGGCCTGTCCAGCTGCAAGTGCCCTGCCAGCCGCTTCCCAATCAGCACTGGATGTGCGCCCGTGTCAATGATTGCCTGTTTCACCGGCAGACCTCCCACCGTGATGTAGCCCTTCTCCGCGACCAGCACTGACGCCGCACAGCTGAGCCTCTCCAACGGGTGCCGGCACGGTGGTTGTTCCTCTCTGGCTTCTCCCGCATGCCGCCTGGGTCCATACTCCTATCGCTCTTCCACTCGCTGCCTCAGGTACCTCTCTCTTGGCCATAGGCCCAACTCCTCTCTGTCCCTCGCGGGTCTTGTCATTAAGCAGAATCCCTGCTCGCTGCCTTCCTCTTCCTCTTCTTCCCTCGCCACCATGGCCGGCTTCCTTTCTGTTCCTCTCTCTTGCCCCTCGAGCTGCGCTCGCAGCTTCTCGATTTCTGCCCGCATCTCAGCCATCTCTCCTTTCTCTCTAGTGTCCCCTCGGTGCGCGTAGCAGTCACGCTCTCCGTGCCCTCTCTTTCCACACTTCTCGCATGTTGGCACCTCTGGGCACTCCCTCCGCAGATGGTCTTCCTTGCTGCAGATGGAACACGCTGGTGGGTTGCGGCAATCTCGCCGCAGTTGACCTCCCTTCCCGCAGTTATGACACTTCCTCATATCCGCAGGTCCTCTCGGCGGTTGCTCGTACTCAACAGGGCTGGCGCTCCACGCGGGCCTCCTCCTCTCCATGGACCGTTCTCCCATTCGCTCCACCTCGAACAACCGCCTTCCCGTTTCCACCCTCTTTTTTGTCTTGTAAGCTACTCCCAGTGTCGCCGCTGCAGCTCGTAGTTCAGCCCATTTAGAAACTTGCTGACAAGGCGACCCTGATCCATACAGTTCATATCTTCTCCGAGCTCCACGAGTCGCCCGTAGTATGCCAGAAGCGACTCCCCTGTCCTCCGTTTGAAGTCCCTAAATTCGACGACCCGCTCTGGCGTCTGCAGCGGAAACTGGTCCCGAAGCATTTCTAGGAAGCGCTTGGTGGGATCTCTTTCTCCCGGCTTCCCTTGCTCTGCCCAATCCAGTAGTTCTCGCCGGCAGATTCGGTAATACGTCTCGGCCTCCCCCGTCAGCGTGTTTGCCAGACCTCTGAAGAACTCGTCTGCAGCCAGCCTATCGCGTTCCCATCGCGCACGTAAGTTCTCCAACTGCATCAGATAATTCTTCAGGGACGGTCCCCGTCGCACCTCTCGTGAGAATCGCTCTGGCACCTCCACCTTCGGGAGCATCGTATAGCGCCATCGTGACGATGCCACCTCCTCCTCGAAGCCCTACCACGACTCGCTCCGCTGATATGGCCGATCGCTCCCCCTTCTTCCTTCCGTTATAGCGGGGCCTCCTTCCGAGACGGGCTTTTCCACTCCGCCTATCCTTCCTTCCTTCTCCGTTCCGCGCGTCAATTCGCGCTCCTCATCTGAGCCCGTGGCTCCGCTCGGCTTCCCGGCAACCCCTCCTTCCGCGCCGTGCGCGTCCGCCTCACTCCGATCTCATGCTCATTCTTCCCGTCACCTTCCATCTCTCTACTCTCCGCTACCTGATCCTTCACGGAGAAACCTAACCCTGATCTTGTGGGCATGCCCTACTCCGGTAGATTGCTTGTATGTGATGAGCTCTCTGCTCCTTCACATACCATGGCTTCCTAGGTCTTGCTAGTCATATCTCCCTAATGTCACTGCTTGCTCGGATTGCCGCAAAACTCTCGTGTAAAAAAGGGAAACATACAAGCAATGAGGTTAGCTACAACAAGGATCCGCCTATACTTCCAGCTCTGCATCCTCCTTTCCCGTCCCGTCATCCCCTAGTCTGTTCTCTAGCAACTATTGCTACTTTCGAGCAGACTTGCATCCACGCTGCTTCTACACCTCTTTTCCCTGCCTCAAGCTACTTTGCCTCAAGCTGACACTGCCCTGATCCAGCTGGCTCCTTGGAGCACGCCTGCATACACATGGAAGCAAACACGCATGCACACGAACACCCATCCAAGTACTGGTGGTAACACCCCCACTTCCCTTGCCGCTGCCGAACACTGTAATTCCCACCCACACCCACTCTCCACTTACGTAAGTCCCGCCCAGTTCAGTTCCCATGCAAGTACCCAACCCTTCGCTTCGGCAAACGTCTACCACCTTCTCACCCCTTGCTCTCCTCGCTCTCCCAACAGCCACCTGGCCCTTCGCCTTCCATCCTCAATACTCACACAGCTCGTTATGTACAATTTACACATCCCCCGAACTCTTCCCACTACACCCTTCACATTCATGCTAATGTGACAAGGTGCCACGAGAAAGTTATGCCACGAATGAACATTTCCCGCGCCACAAAAAAACCCGCCCGCGCGCCAGTGCGGCCCTACCCTCACGCCGCGATTCACGAGCCTAAGGGACGAGCGCCTTTGCTTAATAATTACTAAGTACAGGCTTAAGGGAGGGAGCGGATGTGTGGGAGGGAGAATCCATGTCGAGATACAAATAGCAAGGGTTGTGCTCTGTAAGGAGTACCTCGCTATAGACTAGCATAACTAACAAATATGTAAATATAAAATGACACAGGATGCTAGAAGGTAGTGAGAGGTTACAGAAGGGGTTTACCAGAGGAACAAGTGGAATTTTTACGAGCCAAGGCAAGATTTACGCAATGCACAACCAAAAAAAAACTACACTATAGCTTGCTACAAGGCAGTTATATGAAAATATATAAATATATTTTGACACACCCCCTTAACTTCCTGCAACAAGAATAAGTGAAATTAACAGCCCCTGATGGGGAACACCACCAATAGGAACGGAAGAATGCGCAGCGGAAGAAGCAACGGCAGGTAGGTGAAACGGCGGCAATGCAGGTGCTCAGCGACGGCAAATGCAGCAGCGGCTGGTGCGGCGGCGACGGTTGATGCGGCAGCAGGTGCGGCAGCAGCAGGTGCAGCGGCGGCAGCTGGGGAGTTGGTTGGCAATGTAGGCTCACGGCCACCCCCTTAGCCTCTCGCCCACAGCGTCAGCCGCGTGCGCAGAAGGCGCATGCGCGGCAGGCGTGAGGGATGGTGTGACGAGGCCGCTGCTGGGGCGCAGCAAGGGCACAGCTGAGGTGACGGTTGGCGCTACAGGCTCGAGGCCGCAGCCTTCCCCCCCGCAGCGGCAGCCGCGGTCCCAGCAGGCGCATGCGCGACACGCGTGACGGGAGTGTTAAATTGATATTTGCATATCCTATCATAACTGCCTACAGTTTTCGAGTGTACTAGTTAGATATTAGCTACAACTGCTGGTGGTGTACCCTTTCCCCTTCCTCTTGCCTATTTGTTCCTTTGCCTTGATACTGAAACCCCTCGTCTTTCTCCAAACATTCTCGTAACACTCTCCATGCTCTCGCCATTCTTCCTAGCCATCATCCTAGCCTGACCTCATATGTTTAACATGGTACTAAGAGCTGGTTCCTTCTAAGGACCAACTTTTTTTTTTTTTTTCGGT